CTTATCATCAAATCTAACACTGATTGACTCTTCTACAATACGTGTTTCTGTGTGGTATACTCTGTAGCCTATTGAGTGTTCAGAGTATCCTAACATAATAAACTTTTGTGCTTTAGAGTCAAACTTGTTCAAATGTTCTTTAGTATTAAGAATAAAACATATACATCCAAATGGATGGAAATACGAGATGTTGGGCTTTCTGTTCTTCCACAGTTCATATGGAGTCTTATCCAGAATAGGTCTTATGGAGATTCTATTATGAATGTAACACGCTGTATTAATTGCTTCTGCCCAGAAGTTCTTAGCAATGTTAGTCTTGTTGATCATGGTTCTGACATTTCTTGTAAAGTTCTGTTCTTTCGTTCTATAACTCCATTTTGTTGGGGAGTTCTAGGACAAGAGAAATCATGAGAGATGCCATTCTCATTAAAAAATAGTTCAAGTTTTTTGTTTTCAAATTCTCCACCATAATCACTTCTGACTATAACAATTCTAAGATCCTTTTCATTTTGGACTTGGTTACTAAAGGCAAAGAACACAGAGTGTGACTCGTCCTTGTGTCTTAAGAACTTTACCCATGTCCATCTGCTATAGTCATCTACAATCACTAATCCATACTTCTTGCCACTAATGGATGCAATTTTCACTGGTCCAAATAGATCTATATGCAGAAGTTCTAATGGTCTAGAGGTAGAAACAACATTTTTTGCTTTAAAAGAGCGTTTTGAAAACTTGTCTTTCTGACATGCTTCACACAGAGCATCTGAGCTAAACTTCAGGTTAGGAAGTCCTCTGACCAGATTGAGTTTGTTAATTTGATATGTTCTTCTCATACTAACATGCCCCAATCTTCTATGCCAGACCCATTGCTCATCATTAACAGATAGTAGGCATTTTACATTCTGACTTTTCAGTTTAGAAAGTTTTATTTTCTAAATGTTGTTCTTTCTCTTTCCATTAAAGAGGATAGATCCATCTTTCTGACTAACTTCTTTATAAGACTTTTGATTAAAGATTATATCATAACCGCTATCACTTAATTGACTTATGGATAACAAGTTATGCATTAATCTATCAACTAACATAAAATTAGTAATATAGGGAATATTATCTTTACCAATTGTTCCAGATCCAATGATCTTCCCCTTCTGATTGCCTCCAAAACCTACGTAACCTTCAGATTTAAGCTCCAGACTTTGGAACATATGCTTTCTTCCCGTCATGTGTCGAGAGCATCTAGAGTCCAGGTACCGGGATTGGTGTTTCAATATTACTGTCAAAGATATCTGCAACATATACAATTTTATCCTTAGGTACCCATATCTTTTTGGGTACTTGTTTGTTAGAGTTACCAAAATTCTGTTTGAATTTTGGTTTAGCAGAAAAATCATTACTAGTATACTTTAAGTCATGTGTGTGCCCATAGGTGAACTGAGAACTTAAAGGAGTGCATTTAATAACTAAATCCTTAATTTTTGTAGGTTGGGATACTTTACCTTTGTATCCTATACCTTTTCTGCCATTTCTGCTAACTCCATAGATCATTGAAGCCATCTTGCTTCTATCTATGTTTTTAGCGAGAAATTTCTGAAAGCTATGATCATATTCCTTTATGATCTTATTAGAGTTAGGAAAAATACTCATTTTGGTCCCTTAACTATACCCTTGGGTTCACATTGGTCCCTTAATTTTTTTTCGGGTCATTTTGGTCCCTTAACTTTCAAAATGTTTCATTTTAGTCCTTTTTTTATCTAATTAGCGACGGAAAAACTTTGAAATACGTCGCTAAATCTGTCGCTAATTAGACAAAAAGGACTAAAATGAAACATTTTGAAAGTTAAGGGACCAAAATGACCCGAAAAAAAATTAAGGGACCAATGTGAACCCAATGGTATAGTTAAGGGACTAAAATGAGTATTTTGCCTTAGAGTTACTAGGAACTTCTGAGATAGTTTCCTTTTGAGTATTTTTTAATTCATTTTCAACTTTTGAAACTTTTTCTTTTAGCTCAGAGTTTTCCAATCTCAGATTCTTAGTTTCTTCAGAGTCAGAAACTAGATCCTTTTTCAGGTTCTTGTTTATGACTCAAAGTTTCTAATACCTTTCTATAATTTCTAACAGACTCTCTTCTAATTGAGATCTAGAAAAGTTATAAAATACCTCATCTGACTCTGAGTCTGATTCTGATCCAGATGATTTAGTATATTCTGATATGTTGGCCATCAGGGCAATGTTGGCTCTTTCATCTTCTGATTCAGTGTATGCTTCTGAAGAGTCTGAGTCATCCTATGTTTCCATGAGACTTTTCTTCTTCTCCTTAAAGAACTTCTTTTTAGGTTTCTCCTTCTGAAGCTTTGGACATTCACTTTTGTAGTTCCCTTGTTCATTGCACTTGTAACAGACAATGTCTCTGTTGCTTGACTTTCTGTATCCAAAAGATGATTCAGACTTTCTGTATCCAGAAGATGGTTCAGACTTTCTGTATCTAGACGATGGTTTCGACTGATTTCCTGTTCTTCTGGAGTTTCTGAACTTTCTTTGCCTTTGCTTCTACAACTAATTGACTCTTTTAGAGAGAAGAGACAATTTGTCTTCTTGTGATAAAGATCCACCAGAGTTTTCTTCTGTTGCCTGCAAAACTTTAGAATCATATTTTTTTGTTAGATTTAAGAGCTAAAGGCTTACCTTGCTTCTGGGGCTCATCATCTTCTAACTCTATCTCATGACTTCTGAGAGAGCTGACAAGTTCTTCTAAAGATATTTTGTTCAGATCTTTTACCAGTTTGAGAGCAGTGACCATGGGTCTCCATTTCTTTGGTAAACTTATGATGATCTTCTTTACATGATCAACAGTTGAATATCCTTTGCCCAGAACTTTTAGCCCAGCAACCAGAACTTGAAATATTGAGAACATTGTCTCAATGGTTTCATCTTCTTCCATTTTGAAGGCTTCATACTTCTGAATGAGCACAAGGGCTTTGGTTTCTTTGACCTGCGTGTTGCCTTCATGCGTCATTTTCAAGGAATCAAACATGTGCTTTGCTGACTCTCTGTTTGTGATCTTCTCATACTATGTGTATGAGATGGCACTCAAGAGAATAGTTCTGGCCTTGTGATGATTTCTGAAGTCTCGCTTTTGATGATCTAACATTCTTTTTCTGTCAATCTTCTGACCGCTTTCATCAACAGGATGTATGTACCCATCAATCACCATATCCCAGAGATCATCTTCATGAGCCAGAAAGAAACTTTCGATTATGTCTTTCCAGTAATCAAAGTTCTCTCCACCAAACATTGGAGGTTTTTCGCTGATTTTGTCTTTGCCATCATGGTAATCATTGTTGATGTTCTGACTTGGCCCCACCATAGCGTTTTTCTTAGCTTGGATCTTTTACTTACAAGGTTAAGTGCTTGAACTCAGAACCAGGCACTCTGATGCCAATTGAAGAATGGAAAAACACAAGAAGGGGGTCGAATTGGGATCTTAAAACTTAATGAAAAGAACACGTTGATTTTTATCCTGGTTCGTTTGAACTCAAACTAGTCCAGTCCACCCGCCAAGGTGATTTCGCCTCTCTCCAATGAGGTCTTAATCCACTAATCAATCTTGATTACAAATCTACTTTGACAAAAGCCAAATTCTTCTTGAGTATAACCACAACCAGGTTTTTCTATTGGAAATTCTCTAAACAATGTATGAATAAAAGTGCACAGTAGTGTTTCTAAGTAAACAGTATCACAAAACAGTGATGTATTACACAATTTGAGTGTTGAAAGATTGAGGATGAAATATGATAGCAGCATTGTTGTGCGTGTGTAAATCGTAAATGATTTATCCTCAAGGTTTGTTTAAATAGGCGAAGCATGGATGACCATTTGGAAACTTGATCAAGGACAATTAAGGCGCTTTCCAAAAATGAAGATCCTTGTTCCCTTCCAGTCGTTACTCTTGAAATGGAAATATTTGATTTGTAATGCTTCAGAACATTGAAGTATTTGTTGCTGCTTGCTTCAGAACTTTGGAGATCAGAGCCATGAAATCCTGTTTGCAGCGTTATAACTTCTTTCAAAGAGTTTTATAATCAAAGTTTAAACATCCTTTTAGCGCGTCTTCTGATCTTCTTTCATCATAACTTTTGAGAGATGTTTATAATCACAGCATAAACAACTTTGTAACTTATCTTATGATCTTCTTCCATCAGAACTTCTCTACAAAATAAAATATAACTTTAGGGAGCATAAATATTCTTTGCTTTTGTTATCATCAAAACTCTTACAAGGGTTGCAGAATCAAACTATGTTCTAACAGACCAAAAGTTAGTTTAAATCGACATTAGCATCATTTTATAGTTGAGAAATACCTGATATTTCACTTCATGCATTTTTATCTATTTACTCGCTTCTTGCATTGCATTAACTTGTTTATATGTCGATAATATTGATATTTCGGTTTTACAAACAGATCGTTAAAAGAGATTTGACATTGTGCAGAAAATTAGCGAGAAAATATTTTAAGTTTTCACATTTTACTGACTGTTTTCTGAACTACGTTTCACGTAGATCATGACGGTATGCTCGCTTTATTTTTTCGGTATAATTTGCAGTCTCGTTCTTAATCGTAAGCGTTTGTTTAGCCTAATATTTTCATTCTCATTTTATTTTGAATTTTACCATTTGAATAATTTTTTGTTAATCTTTGTGATATGTAGTTTATTTTAATGTGTTCATTTCATTTTTTCGATTAATCTTGTGTAAATTTTTTTTATAGATTTTGACAATTTTAGGTGACCCATTTTTATTCCGATAAATTAAAACAAAAATATTTTTAAGTGTGTTATTTTTTTAATCGTTCAATTTTTATGTGGATTTTATCATTAAAGGTCATTTTAGGTATTTAAATAAATTGTTGAAAAAAACCTAGAATTTTGTATATATATAGATAAGATGATAGCAGGTATTAGGAGGGGAGTATCAAAAATTGATATCAGTGAAATTCCATAATGGAGAATCCTCCTTGCTTGCTTCATCACCTTCCAATTCATCCCTCACAAAACTCAGCTTTCCGATCATTAACAAACCGCCACCTTCATCCACCAATCATCCACCGTAACAAACACAAACCTCTCAACGTCCTTACTAATTCACCTTCACTGCCATTTCACCATCATCAAAATGTTATCCATCCTCACTACATCAGAACCCTCTGTCTGAATTGTAACATACCAACTCCAAATCTCCTCTCATTTCCGAAAACCTAGCTTCAACGCTAACCACCACACACCTCAACTAACGCTCACTTCCAAAACTCCCTCAGTGAAGCTTCCGTCCACCGTCTTCCACAAGCTACTACTCAGCTTCATTCTCCTTCAAACACAACTATTACATTAACCAAACCTGCTTCGCGTTAACCAAACAAACCCAACAACTATCCGCTCAACAACTTCCAATGCGTAAACTTCTGTATTACTCTCACTATCGCTCAACAATCAACTCAACATCATTCCTCTGTCTTGATCTGGTCCCTTCAGCTTCCCTCCGCCACTGTTTGCATCCATTTTGAGTTGTTTATGTTGGGATTTCTAAGATACCATGAGACTTAAGGTTGCAATTGGTTAACACTTGAGACTACACATATTTACTACTTCCTTGTTAATTTAAGTTGATTTCAATTGCCAATTCGATTCATATTTTTGCTGGGTTATGTGAGTTAGGTAATTTTAATTTTAAAATTTGATTACTAACTCATCTTAGATTTACGCAAGTTTCATTTGTTTTTAATTCCTTTTGTGTTACTAATAAGTTTTTTATTGTGAAGGTTTTCAAGGATGGTTCAAGCATTCATTTTCTTTTAGCATCTCCATGCTTTGTCATTTACATTTCTTATTGTATTATTTTATTACTTTGATTTAATATATAGTAATATAAAGATACAATTAAGCATATCACTTTTGACTTTGTATTTTATTCGATTCACTTGTAAATAAATTCAAGTTGTGTTGATATTCTTTTCATTGTGTTGCGATTTTGAATTTCAATTCAAGTTAACTTTTGAAAAGCGTACAGACGCATATAATTTTGCTCGACCTCTTACAGTTGATTCCTACATGAATATATTCTAAAAAGATACTTAGCAAAGTGCAATACATAATAGCTTTCGATTTGTTTCATTCTGGTCATGTAGTTTACTCTCGAGTTCTATTTAAGACTTTGAATAATTTCTCTGTGTTGTTGGTTTTGTTTGTGTCTCATGTGATGTAGGGATTCTTATCTGATATCTCGACCTTTTATATGATACCTTGAGCCTTGTCTGACACATTGTGCCTATCTGATCCCTCGGATTTACCTACACTGCCCCGCTTGTGATTTATTTTCTTTGATACTGTCTGTTTGTGATTTATTTTTACATGACACCTGGTATACTCTTGGCTTATTTCTTTACATGGGACTTTAATCCAAAGGATGGGAATTCTTATTGACTTTATTATGTCCAACATTGGCTTCCTTTTGGTCAGACATTCCTTACCTTAGCTTTTACTTTCTTGTAAATAGGATATTCTCTTCATCTCATTTCCCATTCTTCAATTTTCAAAACCTTCTCATCTTTAACAAAACCTTCTTTGTCTTTTAAACTCGAACCACTTTCATAATAAACCTCGATTATGTCGAGTGACTTTTCAAACTTCTTTTTTTTCTTCAAACTTCTCAAAACACTTAATAAATAATGATGAGAATCCTACTTCCACGAGCCTTAATAAGTCGAGAAGGATGAGTGGGTCCATTCCAAAAGCTTGTCCTTCATTCCATTCATAGTCTTTTGTGTCGTTCAAATAACAAGTATTTTTTAAAGACTAAAAAACATTCAAATCTCATTCAAACCTTTTTGTGCCTTCACACACCTTCCCCTTTAAAACCTTTTCCAAGATTAGACATGATTCATTTATAGTCGAAATATCATCCTCCTATCCCCATGGTTATAAAGGTGTCGACTTTTCCACTTGAGTGCCAGAGGCATTTCCAAACACTCCTCATGTTGACGCATGACCCATCTTTCTCACACCTTGTGGGTGATTAGTTGAGATTTCTCTCCTAAAAATGACAAATTGTGTCTTCATTTTAAAACAACCAACACACAGTTTTGGTCTTTTTAAGAAGAACTACGAGTTCCCTGATCCCTTATTGTACGAAGGGGGTACGTAGGCACAAAGGTTCGCATCCACGGCGGGAGAAATAATTAAAAACATTTTATTTCGTTTGTAAATATTCACTCATTCATTCCCTTTAGCAAGTTTAAGTTTTAGATAACACACTCCTTGATTTGAACAAATAAAGTGTATCCCACGGAGTATTATAGATTCTTGGGGTGCTAATACCTTCTTGTTGTACCCTAAAATTTGCCCTCCCATATTTCTCAATACATATCAAGTGAAGTCCCCAAATGGCTTAAGGAAGTTCAAGAGATGACCAGACAAACTCTCTCCTAAGGCAGTCTACCTCAAATTAGGGTTTCATTTTGCATCAAGATACTTAAGTCCAAAGGATCCCAAATTATCACAATTGTCCTAATATGTTCTCAAGACCATCCATGTCAAGTTTCAAGCCTTGCAGAGGAAGTTTGCTCAGTCAATTGCTCAAAGGCCTGAAAATCGACTATGCTAGGTCAAAAGTCAACTGTGGCCCACATACAGTCAAACTTCAATATTTTTGGTCAACATTCTCATGTTTAAGTATCTTTCATCATTTGATCAAGGTTTGATCATGATTCATCAAGGATTGCTCACAATTCATCAAAACCTAAAAGTTGCTAAATTAGGGTTTTGTAGGAAAAGTCAACTCAACTTTGACCAAGCATAACTTTCTCATACTTTATCAAAAATGACCCATCCAAATCTAATTTTTAAGAGGATGCAATTCCCTACAATTCATCTTCAGATCCCAAGTTCAAAATATGCACTCACAAGAAGATATGAATTTGGACATTATAGGTCATTTTGAAAAGTCAACAAAAATACCTTTTGGGTCAAAGCTTCATACATGAACATGGAATACTCAGTTGAGATGAGACCAAAAGGGTTACTTAGAGGACATCTTAATCTTTCTAAAAAGTCCAAGAACACCCTCCTAGGGTCAAAATTAAGAGAGATATGCATTGTCAAAGTTGACCCTTTTTGCAAAATTGCCAAAAGCCAAATGTGCTCAAATTTGCATCTTTTGCTAAATGGGCCCAACTTTTTATGCTTGCATCTCATTCTTAACATGGTCCACGACCCATAAAACCATCCATGCATTATTGTCTTATTTATTTGATTTATTTTGGTTTCAATCATGAGAAAAATCAAATTAAATTAGATAAATAATACGGATTTGATTTGATTTTTGCATTGAATGATGGATCAAATATGCTGAAAATAAACAAGGAAATCGTGCCATGCTATGAAAGGGAAAGAAATATTTGAAAATAAATATCTTTGAAGCAAAATTGAAAGTTCCATATCTCTTTGGATTTGCTCCAAGAATATTAACCTATTGTTGGCCTCACATATAAAAAGAGGTTTCAAACCCTAAAGGAGAGGGAGAGAACACACGCAGCCGGCCTGGGAGGGGAAAGAAAAATTCCAAAAATTCAAAGAAGTGTGCAATCTTCAAACAACTTGGTTAGCCTCTTTCCTTCGATTCCAATCGCTTCATCATCTTGCTGAGATTCCCATGAGTGAAACCAGACCATCGGCAAGGCTTGTAGCATCCTCAAATCACCAGGTCCGTGTCTCACCATTGGTAAAATTTCTTTGACTTCAAACTCGCGCAATACTTGATTTAAATTCATATTGATCATATACATGTGTTTCTACTGATGTTTGTGTGTGTTTGGACGTATCACATGCGAAGCTAACGCCCAGAATCACGTTATGTCATTGTTGACCGTGATTAGGGTTCCAAGTTCGAATTTGATGATGCATAAGGAATTAGTTAATTTAGAGGCCAAAATCGTGACCAGGGGATCTTTTTAAGATAATTGGCACTGTTTGTTTTTTGGTTTGGCTGATATTTGCAGGCGACCCACTGAAGAAGACGGTGGAAACCACCGGCTTCGGTGGTTGAACTGACCGGTCTCTGGTCAACCAGCCTACCTAGTTGTTTCTTATAATTCCATTGGTTGGACCAAACGCTGACTTTCTCTCACTCCATCTGATTGGCCCATGCTTGCTGACGCGTGCAATTATTTGCTGATCTGGATCTAGCATCTTGTTTTCATTCATGTTTGATTTATTTCGTTAATATCATGACTAACGTTCCAGCGCAGTTGGCAAGAGGGAGAATTTATAAGGTAGAAGTCCTGCGTTCGACCCCAGGCGTGGTACTTTTGCATTTTTGTGATTTTCTCTATAGGTTCCAGTGCGGCACGCCCTTGGGAGTCCATCATGAGACATCAAGATCCAATCGTCAGATCCATCAGCTAGCCAGGATCTAACACCTTCCACTAAAGGTCCATCATGCACCCTAGGTCAACAAGTGCACCAAATCCAGCGAAGTCAAACGGGCCTGACTTATTTGGGCTCAAAATTCCACAACACACCCCCCTCCCCCCAATTGCTAATCAGCATTAGGCCCATCACTAATCCTTTTTATATTTCTTTTTTTTTGTATTCTTTCAATTTCCTTTATTCATTTAATTTACAAACTAATTAATTTTTCACAAAAAACATAAAATCAATAATTCATCAAAAATTAGGATTAGTTTTTTTATTTTTTCAAAATTAATTTAATTTAGTTTATAATAGGAAGATTATAATTTTTTTTCATAAATAAAATCAAAATAGAAATTAGGTTAAACTTTTGATTAAATTCAATTTTGCTTTTTTTTTTCTTAAATAAAAATACAAAAAAATAGGTTTTAGAATAAATTAATTTATTTTTCTTAATTTAAAATCAATTAGAATTAGGATTTTCTTTTTAATGATTTCTTTATTTTCTTTAAATAATAAAACATGACAAAAACATTTTTTTAATTAATCGCAATTAGGTTTAGGTAAGGGTCAAAACCCTAATTATCTCGTATTCGATTCAACGCGCGCATATTATTTATTTTGTCAATATTTATGTAACTGTTTATGGTTTGTAATAGTTTAATCTAGGGCTTTTATTTATTTCTTTTTCCCGGGTTTTTGGCTATGTAATTAATTCCCCTCCCCGAAGCCTTGTAACAGCGTAGATTTATTTTCTCGCATCTTAATTTCTGCCAATATTTAACTGTCTAGATGTA